ATAAGGATCAGCATAAAGGTCAACACACTCCCCTCAGCATTCCAGGTAAGGTTAAAAAAATAGAAGTTGGTGGATGGCTTAGCCCATGAAGTGCTGGCTAAGCAAGCGTGAGGACCTGAATTCGGTTTCCAGCACTCGTATAAAAATGCCAGGTCTGGTGGTGCCATACTGGAGCATGCAGAGCTCTGGAGTTAGTCGACCAGTTAACCTAGTCTAATCTGTGAGCTGAAGGCCAGTGAGAGACCCTGCCTCCAATAACAGTTAGACCTCTGTCAAAGAATAACCCCTCAGGTTCCACACACATGTGCCCACACATGCACACACACACACACACACACACACAGAGCGAGAGAGAGCGACAAAGAGAGGGAGAAAGAGACAGAGAGAGAGAGAGAGAGAGAGAGAGAGAGAGAGAGAGAGAGAATGAATGATTCAGTTTCTGGATTTTCTCTTCTACTTTTGTCATATCCACAAAACACCCCAAATGCCACATTCCTAACCTTGGACAGATGGGGACCAGAAACCAGCACCCGACTCCTTTGCTTCATAGACAGAGTTGGTGATATGACCAACTTCTAGTTATAGGCAAAAGTAAGCAAGTCCTGCACCAAGGTCTCCTATTTCCCAGTGTCCAGAGCATCCCCCTAAATCATGCTGCTGGAACCCCAATAACTCTCCTCGAGTTCAAGGACATAATACAGCTTAGAAAGAACTTCCTGGCCAGTGGAGGGGACATTCAAGTTCTGAAAAAAAATGTGCTTTGGAAACAGCACCTGGCAGTTGTTTGCAGTGCTCGGAGCAACTTCCACCTCATTTTACTTTTGGAGCCTCATTTCTTTCCATCTTATAGATGGCAGGAAAGAAGACCGAGGCCAGAGAGTACCATGACCAGGGAATTCTTGAGGAAGCACAGACTGGAGTCAGCCCCCATGGCCCTGAGTTCCACATCCCATCTGGGATGCAGAGACATGTATGTAGGAGGTACCCATCAGGCAATGATCCCAGAGACCTCCGGGGTGAGGGCAGGCTAGGTCTCACCATCAGGAGCCCCCTTGCCGGCCGAGTGTTCTTCTCCTCCAGCTCCTCGATCAGGGCGCTGAATCGGCAGATCTCCCCTGTGGCCAGGGAATCAAACTCTTCCTGTTGCTTCAGGATGTCCCCATCTAACCTCTCCAGCTGTGCTAAAAGGACACTCTGTTGTTCCTCTAGGAAGTGGCTCAGATGTGCAAACTGGGAAATCACCTGCTGTCTCTTGGTGGCCACCTGAGTCTGAGAAGGAAAGATGAGAGCCACATTGCAATCTTCTCCTCCCCCCACCCCACCCCCAGTCCTCCTCTCCCCACAGCAGCATCTCATCTCCTCCTCCCTTCCTTTTCCTTGAACATTCTCACTTCCCTCTTGATCCATACCCACACCTCCCAAAGTTTGGTGGCAAAACCAGAGCCCCCCACTCCCACCTGTTCCTCAACCCCATATGGATGCAGAGCTCCAGCTGGAGTTCTTCCTGCCTATCACCCCATTTCTCATGAGGCCCAGCAGTCCCTCATTGTCATTACTGTGGCTTCTAAAAGGGGCTCAGAGACACTGGAGATGCCTGGCCTCTTGCCCCACAGGAAGCACACATTGTGTACACATCACTAAGCTGTTAGAGGCAGGATTGCACTAATTCCTGCAGTGATTCAGTAAGGAAATGGATCTTAATCTCCATTTCACAGGTGAGTAAGATAAAGTAAGACAGTTGCTCAAGATGGGAAAGTTAACATCAGAGTCAGGATTCAAACTCAAAATACCTTCAAGTGTCTGTCTGCCCTGTGGCCTCAGACTGGAGGAAAGGGCTGGACCTGGGGGGGCAGAGACCTACCAGGAGCACCTGTATTCTTTTGTTTTCTCTTGATTGGATTTCTTGAATCTCCTCTCTCTCTTTCCTTAGACACATAAGACACTTCTGTATTTGTTCCTGGGGAGAAGGAGTACAAAATACTAAGACAAAGTAACTACAAAGGGACCTTCAATCTGTAGAAATGAAATGCCCTGGAGATGAGTGTGAACCTCAGCACCTTGAGAGACTCAGGGTCTTCTCCTATTCTGATTTTGAGACTGGATTTCATGTAGCCCAGACTTACCTCAAACTCAGAATCCTCCTGCCTCAGGTTTCCAAACATTAGGATCATAGGTCAGCACCACCAAGCCTGGCCTTGAGTCTTGGTCCTCTTGCTTTGTGCTCCAGAGATTTTGGCCAGGGTTTACCCCCTTCTCATGATCCCTTCTTCAGGTTAAACAACTACCTTGTTTTGCATGTGGCAAGCATTACCTACAATCTGAGCTCTGTGTGGTCTTTGCTGAAACTGAAATTATGTCACCCAAAGGAAATACACGCAAATAACATCTTCCTTATTTACTAGAACCAATAATCTAGAAATGATATGATGTGAGAAGAAATTTGGATACAAAAATAATTGATGCATTATTTTATAAATTGATCTAGAACAGAATTAGGAGCAAACACATAAATATCCATGTGTGTGTTTAAAAATACCCACAGAAGGGCCGGGCGGTGGTGGCGCACGCCTTTAATCCCAGCACTCGGGAGGCAGAGCCAGGCGGATCTCCGTGAGTTCGAGGCCAGCCTGGGCTACCAAGTGAGCTCCAGGAAAGGCGCAAAGCTACGCAGAGAAACCCTGTCTCGAAAAACCAAAAAAAAAAAAAAAAAAAAAAATACCCACAGAAAAGCTGGGGATGTAGCTCAGTCATTAGAGTGCTTGCTTAGCATGCAAACCCTGGGTTCAATTCCCAACACTGCATAAAACATGTGTGGTGGCACATGCCTATAATCCCAGTGTTCAGGGCATAAAGGCAGGAGAAATTCAAGGCCATCCTAGGCTATATAGTTAGTCTGAGGCAAGCCTACATTAAGACCTGGCAGAGAGAGAGAGAGAGAGAGAGAGAGAGAGAGAGAGAGAGAGAGAGAGAGAGAGAGAGAGAAGAGAAATCCTACTATCAAAAGATCATTAACAAATTGCTACATCATACATCTAAACACTTGCTTGTAACAAAATATGTGGGAGCCCACAAAAGTTTCCTAGTGAGAGCTGAGCTTGCTTTACACCACAGGGCTGCATTAAGGGATGGCTTGACCACCTGTGTGGTTACCAGGTGTCTGGTGTCTGGAATGGTCTGTACTTGGCTGTGCTGGGGGGAGGTCTTTTGCTCCACCCCTTGGCATTCCTTTAAACGCCCTTTAGCAGAGACAGAAGGGGCTGGTGGTTTTTGACCCAGGTCCTCCCGAGGCTATCCTACGTTTCTATCTGTCTCTCTCCTCTATATTCCTATCTAAATATTTCTCACTTCTCCCTCAAGAGTACGGGGGGGGGGGGAGGGAGGAGAAGTGAGAGCTGGTCTCCCACAAAAATACAGTATAAAAGCAACTAAAACCAGTAATACTCATTTAATGAAAAATAAAAATACATGCCACATATATTCACCCAACCAGCTTATTCACAACAGGAACATTCAGTTACATGCTCCAAATACACCACACTCTGACCACTCCTCCATACACAGGTCACTCACTCTTGTAAATATACAAACAAGCATGATCATTCCTTAAAATACAAACCTCAAATACACTTAGCTGATACAGGGGACACACACACACACACACACACACACACACACACACACACACGTTTGATGGTTCATTTGTTCAGAAAGGATTTACTGAGCTCCTTCCATCTATGGTCCACAAGGAAACGACACAGAACTCAATCATAAACCTGTGCTTAAGTCTACTGCCTGGGTGATCAAGTCAATAGGAAAAAGAACTTGAAGTCAGGATAACCCCTTCCACCCCAGAATCCACAATGCCTTTCTACTTCCCTTGGTCCAATCCAGCTCCCACAAGGGTCTCCCAGAGCCCCTTCCTACCCTGCAGGGATCTTCTCCTACCCTGTAGGGACCTGCTGCATCCTCCAGGAAGCGCACAGTGTGAGTCCTATGCTGTCCAGCCTCACGGCACACCACACACAGCTGTGCCTCATCCTCCTCGCAGAAGAAGTAGACTTTCTCCCCGTGTTCGGGACAGGCATCCTCCACCTCCGGGCCTCGAGTGGATGCCAGCTGAAGGCGTTCGATGTTCTCTACCACACTGGCTAGCTGCCAGTTCGGCCGAAAGCTCCCTGGGCGGAAAGGCTCTTTGCAGAGTGGGCAGCTGAGGGACTCCTCCGATTCTGGGACCGGGATCTCACAGTAGCGAGTGAGGCAGCCTCGACAGAAGTTGTGGCCGCAGTCAATGGTGACTGGCTCCCTTAGGGTGCCCTGGCAGATGGGGCAGTTGACCTCATCTGCGAGGCTAGTCACAGAAGGAGCTGAGGCCATGTCAATCCTACCGGTCCTTCTGCTTCCCGTAAGTCACCATCTCTGTGTGGTGGGAAGAGTACACTTCACACGTAAACCATGCCTGGGCACAGACATAGTCACACACACTTGGACAAGGGGCCCAGTTGCATCTCTGGAACCAGTGGTCCCTTGTCTTGCTCTCCCAGGAGCAGACACACTCCTGCCAACAGCAGAGATGAAGAAATAGCAGAAGAGGAAGGCCCAGGAGTTCACAGCATCATCCAGAGATGCTGAAGTTACTCTCTGGACCAGTTCCCATGGCCCGGGGCTCACCTCCCTTTCTGTCCACCCGAAGCTGCTCACAGAAAGATGAGGACGTTTAGTCTCTCAGCAGTCCACGGTTAAAAGAGACCTTTCCTTGGGGCAGGGAGGAGCCTGACTCACAGAGGGCTGTTGCCACCCCAGCTCTGCAACACAGCCACCTGCCTCCAGGGAGATTGGAGGTATCAGCCAGCACAAGACCTGACAGTCAGGGAACAGGGGCGTGTGGGGACTCAGATAAGGCTCTTGAGTTGGGATATGCACACACAAGCAACCGTGGTGATACCTCCATAGGCCTTTGACAGGCCTTTAAAGAGGGCTGGGAAAAAAATGCACGGGGGAGGAAACATAGAGTCACAGCCAGCACTTTTTTACTGTGACTACACGTCTAGTGATAGAAGTGCTTTAAATGATTTATTTATTTCACCTCTGCTCTATCACATCCTGCTGCTTGTACCTCCATTTTGCAAGTTCCACCAGGTCACCTCACCCCATCCACGGTGAACAAATAGAGCACAAGTGACTGTGATCCACCTGCAAGCCAAAGCTATGAGTCTTCTAAGTAATGCAGTCTACCAGAAACACAAAGTACAACCAGGCATGGCAGTACATGCCTGTGATTGCAGCGCTTGGTAGAGAGAGAGGGTAAAATCAGGAGTTCAAGACCCACCTCCACTTGCATAGTACCTTGGGGGCTAGCCTACATGAAATGTGCCTTGAGAGAAAGAAAAAGAATTCAGTGAAAGCTACATATTGCACATATGCAATATAAAATTGTCTAGTTGCCAACATGAGCTGAGCCACAAAGGAACAGAATTATAAAGGGATGTTATTGGGACAACTGGATATTTTGAATATTGACATTACTCACTAATAGATTGCTAATTTTTTTCTTTAAATTATCTAGTTATTATTAATGTGTGTGTGTGGTAGGGTGTGTGGTAGGGTGTGTATGTGGGGGTGCTGAAATCCCAGCATAAACATATCCGTGCTAATATTCCTTCACAGTATCAATAAGTTTGAATGTTTCTCATAATAAAAGTTGAGAAAATGTAAAAAAATGAAAAGAAAGATAAAATAAGTATTAACAGTATATTTAAGTTATTTCAATGTTTCCAAAATATTATCTGAACACATAGTCAACATAAAACACTAGCAATATTTCACATTTCCCCGTATTTATGTGAAGTCTTTTATGTGTACAGCACTCTTCAGCCAGAGCTGACCACACACGGCTGCTTAACCAGCATTAGACAGCTGTTCCAGGGTGTATTGCTGAGGGAGTAGGCAGGGCAGGAAGGGGCTGTGGAACAAGCAAAGTAGGTGCAATGCCAGGGGCTAGTGAGTGGGAGGGCCTGGCTTTGTCCACAGGGACCCTGCAGCCTGACCTTGGTCTCCGCCATGGGAAGAGCATAGGGCTGGAATCCTAACACTCCAACTGTCCCAGCCTTGTGGCTGTCAGACTCTGGCCTCTAGAAATCCTTTTTACCTTTCAGTTTGTGTCTCCTTCTCCACACTTGTCCCAATGGATTGCTATTGAATTGGATGTAGTTCTGCAGTAATTGCTCAGGGGCTGAATGCATATTGCTGGAGCTGGAAAGATGGCTCAGGGGTTAAGAATTTGCTGCTCTTGCAGAGGACACGGGCTGGGTTCTCAGCATCCCCACGGAGGCTCACAACCATGTGTAACTCCAGGGGATCCAATGCCCTCTTCTGGCCCTTTAGGCACTGCACACATTGACATAAGGGCAGACAAAACAATCATACACATAAGAATTAAAAATAAAAAAATTAATGAAAATTTAAAAAAATTAAAATTGAAGGGCTGGAAAGATGGCTTAGCTATTAAGAGTAGTAGCTACACTTTGAAGTAGCAGGATGTAAATAACTCACAACTATCTTCAACTTGAACTTCAGGGGATCCATCTGAGAGAAACTGCACATGTGGCAAACATACACCCCAACACACACACACACACACACACACACACACACACACACACACACACCACTACACTATACTTTTTTCTTAAAAAACAAACAAACAAACAAAAACCTAAAATTGAAATCCAGTATCACCCAGGTTCTACGTGGTGCTCAGTCAGCATGGGTGTTAGGAAAGATCGCTCCAGCAGGAGACGCAGTCGAGGAAAGGAAGGGCCAAGGAGAGGAACGTGCATGTGGGCCTGTAGTTCTAAGTTAGTCTCAACACCACAGGTTGGACTTTGATGCTACCACAGAGCTCCTAGCCTGAAATTTATGGCTTTCACCTGCTCAGCGTGACAGGAAGCGGCTCCTCCCCAACGGTCCCACCCCTCCTCTGTGGCCAAGCGATTCCTGGAAACCCCATTTCCAAGTGACCTCATGGTGCAATACGCTGCTCCCCACCCCAGGGACAGAAGGCGACAGAAGTGGAGAGCTAGGTCACCGGCCTGCCGCTGGGAAACGCTGGGTAGTCAAGGCGCCTTGGAGTTTGGACCTGCTTAGCTGCTGGGTGGTGGCCCAGGGTTCTGGGCGTGCCTGGGGCCGAGCCAGGTGACTTCGCTGAGCTGACATTCCTGCTTTTCTTTCAGCCCCGGATTCCTTTGCCTCTGTGACAGTGACGCACTCAAAAGTGACTCAGTTTCAGAGAAAGGAAATTGTAGTGGACAGAGGCTGAAGACTGTGTGGACCAGCAGGGAAAGGCACGGTGATGCCCTCAACCCGGTCCCTGCGGGGACTCCACCACGTAGCCTGTCCTGCCTGCACCCGGCCCCTGCGGGATGCGGTGACCGTAGCCTGCGGACACAAAATCTGTCTACTCTGCCTCCCGCACATCCCGATGGGGGCCAAGCTGCTATGCCCGCTCTGTCAGGAGGAAGAGGAGCAAACCCAGGCCGCAGTGGCCCCGGTACCCCTGGGTCCCCTAGGCGAGACCTGCTGCGAGGAGCACGGAGAGAAGATCTATTACTTCTGCGAGACAGACGCGGAGCTGCTCTGTGTGTTCTGCAGAGAGGGCCCCGCCCACCAGGCGCACACCGTGCGGTTCCTCGATGAAGCCATCCAACCCTACAGGGTAAGAAGCCTCAGGTGCTGCTTCCAGACAGGTAGGAAGGTGACCTGCGGTGGGTGGGTGAAAGAAAGAGGGTGGAGATTTGCTGTCTGAAGACCTCTCAGCCCTCCTCTTTGGTCCTGTCTCCCTGCGGCACACACACCACGCACTTTTCCGTCTCCATAGTGCCGCCCGGTCCACTTTCTGTCCAAGATGGTGATACGGTGAAGGTCAAGGATTAGGCCTCTGTCAGCTTTGAGTCCCTCAGCTCTGGTGGTTCATCCACAACACAGCACACGGTATGTGCCAGTTGGGTTTTTCACGCACTCTCATTCCCTCTGCGTTCCTCTCCGACAGGATCGTCTCAGGAGTCGGTTAGAAACTCTGAGAATGGAGCGGGACAAGATGGAAGACAGGAAATATCAAGAAGATCGGAAGCTCCAAGAGCTCCTGGTAAAGGCTACACTCCTGTTCCTTTGTTGTGTTTGTTTAAACTGGCCTCAAATTTACTACTTAGATGATCCTATTGTCTCCACCTCCCAGGGGCTGGGATTACAGGCATGTGCCACCATACCCTGCTTATGCCTAACGTGATATCCAGTCCAGGGGCTTGTGCATGCTAGGCACCAACTAAATTGTATCCATGCTGCTCCCTTGGGGGTTTCCTTCAAAGGCTCCTAGTCTGTTACTGGACTGAAAAGAACTTCAGGATTTTCTAACTCATCTTCCTGCAACCTCACAAAGACTTCTGGTGTCTCGGGACATGGAGGCTGGAGGTGTTTCTGATGTCTTTGAATCCAAGACATACTTTATTCTTCTCATACACAGGGGAGAACTGAGGTCTATAAAAGTAGTGCTCCTAACACCATGTGAGGAAATGACTAGAACTTAGGTCCCTTGACCTGTGTCCAAGGCTCTCCTGGCCCAGTATATCTACTGGAAACATCACCTCAGCTGGGAAGCCTACGATAGGTGTCCATTAGTGTCTTGGTTCAGGCTCTGTGGACAGCAGATGAATGAAGCAGCTAGATTTGGCTGCTTCCCACCACTTCTTTCATGATGCAGTAATCAAGAGGAAAATTCACACTATGTATTTCTGGTACTCTGACCAAAGAGAGTATTGAGACAGAAAGCTCTCTCCAGCATCTCTCAAATTCCATCAAAACATGCTTCATATTTCTGATCATGATTCCCTTTTGCCTTAATCTTTATCTAAGAGATTACTGTAATTGGGCTGGGTATATAGTTCAGTATGAAGAGTGATTGCCTAGAATACATGGAGCCCCAGGTTCAATCCCCTAGCATTGAATAAAATGGAAGTTGTGATATACACCTGTGATTCTAGCACTCGGATGGTAGAGGTAGGAGGGTCAGAAGCTCAAGGTCATCTTTGACTACATCATGAATTGAGTTTGAGGCTAGCCTACTATACATGAGACATGGAAACATATCTCAAGAAAAGAAAGATGTTACTACAGTTACTCCATATGAGTCTAAAGAAGATATGGTAGGTGTGCTGGTTAGTTTTTTGTTAACTTGATACAAGCTAGGGTCATCTAGGAAGAGGGAACCCTTCCTAAATGAGGAACTGAGAAAAAAAAAAGCAGTTGAAAAAGTGCTTCCATCAGATTGCTTTCATCAGATCGACTGTAGCAAGACTATGGGACATTTTCTTAATGAATTATTGATGTGGGAGGGTCCAGCCTACACAGGACAGGTGGTCCTGGTTATATAAGAAAGAAGGTTAAGCATACCATGGAGAACAAGCCAGTAAGCAGCATTTCTTCACAGCCTCTGCTTCTAGGTTCCTGTTTGAGTTCCTGTCCTGAGTTCCCTCAGTGATGGGATGGGATATAGAAGTATAAGATGAAATAAACTTTCTTCCTCAACCTAGTTTTTGTCATGTTTTATCATAGCAGCAGAGAAGAAAACTGGAAAAAAAAGTAGGGTATCATAGCTATGTCTCTAAGAGTTCAATATATTATTACAATACCTGGCTAAGACAATAATAGCAAAGCTCTTATCATCAGCAAGTCTATCTTGAGACCTCTTTCTACCATTTTATTTGTAGAAATGAGTCTTGAAACTGCTTATTCCTTGTTTCTCTTAATCAGTTAAGTGCACAGATGATCCTTCTGGGAGCCAGTTCTGAGTCCCTCCTCATATCCTCACAGATGCAGGTTGAAAGCAAGAAGCAACAGGTAGAAGCTGCCTTTGAAAGGCTGACTCAGGAGCTTGGAGACCAGAGGTGCCTCCTGATGACCAGGCTGGAGGGGCTAGAACAGCAGATCTGGAAGGAGAGGGAAGAGTACATCACAAAGGTCTCTCAGGAGGTCCATTGGCTGGGCACCCAGGTTGAGGAGCTGGAGGAGAAGTGTCATCGACCAGCAAGTGAGCTACTACAAGTGAGAGACACTCCACAATCCTACCACCCTGTGGGACAGCAGGGGGGTTCACAGGAAGGGTGGTACTGTGTTGCAGCTGGGAGGTGATGGAGAGGCAGGAAAGGGAAATGGGGAATTATCTCCATTGATAAGGCCTGAGGGAGGGCGTGCTTTCTATGGCCCAAAAGACTACAGAATCTGCTAAGGCATGCATGAGGATCATGTAAAGATGACCAGAATCAGACAATCTAGAGTTTAGTGTCAGTTCCATTAACTATGTCACTTGGGTGAGTTTTTTAGCTTCTCTAAGCATGGGATGATAATAGTTTTTTTTTTTTTTTTTTTGAGTTGTAAACCATGTAAGAAATAACCCATGTGTGGTGTTCAGCATGGCCTCCAGTGCACAAGAAGAGCTCCATCAATGGCCTTGTGGTACTTACCACAATCCTGTCCTACATCAGTTCCAACTTGGAATTCAGGCTGGTCTCTGCTCTCCACTATCTTTTAATCACTGGAGGCAGAACCCATTTAAGGATACAGCTGGAACAGAGCAATCAGAGCAAAGGAATTGGCTGCAGAGTCCTATACTAGTCAGGAACACAAGGAGAGCAGTGAGATGCATAGAAAGTAATTAAGGGGCTCCAACACTCTGGGTAGAACCTTTTAGCTGATGTCAAGACAGAAAGATCTATTGTCCCTGATGGGAAAGGCCATATGGAAACTAAGTGCATGTTTTTGTGTTTCTTCTGTAGGATGCCAGACTCAACCAGAGCAGGTAAGGCCCTCTCCAGTCTTGCCTCCTTTATGTGCATCTTGAAGACACTGCAATTCATCTGTCCCCTTGTGGATGGCCACTCAGAAAAACACTGAGGCCACTTGTTCTCTAACAGCTCAAACTCAGTAAACAGATGGGTTGAAGCTGGGCATGGTGGCTCATGCCTTTAATCCCAGGGCATGGGAAGCTGAGACAGAGGGATCACCATGAGTTTGAGGAAAGCCTGGACTACAGAGTGAGACCCTATCCCCAAATAAATAAATAAGTTGGTATGTTGGTTTTTGAGACATACTTCTCCACCTCAAAGCAAAGTTATATATAATAAGCATGGCTTTAGAATGATCCAGGGGTTTTTTTTAATTGCATTTTATGTGTATAGGCATTTTGCCTGCAAACATATCTGTGCACCATGTGCAAGCCTGGTACCAGAGGAAACCAGAAGAGGCTGGCAGATCCCCTGGAACTGGAATTACAGTTGTAGGACACCATGTAGATGCTGGGTACTGAACTCTGTGGTGTTTGGCATGTCCAGCTCCCAGAAGTTATCTTTAACCCATGAAATTACTGGTATTTTATTCAGTACCTAAAGCCATTGGAGAGTGTCTCCAAACTTGCTTCTCAAAGTGTTAGAAGTGAGGTCAAGGATGTGGTGGGTCTTACAATGTGATGAGAAGCTGAGAGGAGAATGGCCATAGCCAATGAGTAATGAGGACTACAAAGGAACAGAACCAGGGCTTTTTCACCCACACACAAATAAAATGAAGGATTTTATTTTTGGAATTTAAGTTTGATTTCCAATTTGTCTGCAGGTATGAGTCGAAGACTTTTGTGAGTCCAGAGGCTATTTCCTCTGATCTTGTTAAGAAGATTCGAAACCTCCACAGGAAAATACTCGGCCTCCCAAAGATGATGAGGACATTCTCAGGTAAAGAGACTCCTCTATCTTCCATCTGTCTCTATATTTCCCCAACTTCAAAACCTGGTTCAAACCAAGCATGGTAGCACATGCCTGTAATGTCAGCACAGGGAGACGGAGGCAGGAGGATCTCAAGTTTCAGGCCAGCCTGGACTATGTGGTGAAATTCAAACAAAAATAAGCAAATACCTTAGGTTAAGCATCTCCCCTCTCTGGAATTTCCCACAAGACCTCACTCTATACAGCTGGTTGATGGTGGCACATGCCTTTAATCCCAGCACTCAGGAGGCAGAAGCAGGTACTCTGTGATTTCGAGGCCAGCAGCCTGGTCTACAGAATGAGTTCCAGGACAGCCAGGACTGTTTCACAGAGAAACTCTGCCTCAAAAA